ATGAAACTAGTTTCAACGATCCAACCGTCAAACATGTTTGTATATGCTTCGAGATCGCATACGTCAAAAATTTCAAAAAACAAACATTCAGAGATCAAGTAACGGGCCAAAACTTTTCGACGGTTATCAACGAAAAATCACGATTTAACAGTTATTTTAACTCCGATTTTGATGATTTTTTACAACTACACTCCTTGACCCTATATGAATACAATGAATGAATTCGATCTTCAATTTAAAATATTTACACAAGTGGATACCACAAAATCTTATGTTATGTTTAATAAAGTATAAATAAACTCTAAGTGTTAGTGAATCTATTGTTTTGATAGGATACGCATTCTACGAAACTAGTTTCAACGATCCAACCGTCAAACATTTTTGTATATGCTTCGAGATCGCATACGCTAAAAATTTCAAAAAAAAAACATTCAGAGATCAAGTAACGGGACAAAACTTTTCGACGGTTATCAACGAAAAATCACGATTTAACGGTTATTTTAACTTCGATTTAATAGTTTTTTACAGCTACACTCCTTGACCCTATATGAATATCATGAATGAACTCGATCTTCAATTTAAAATACTTAAACTACTGGATACCACAAAATCTTATATTATACTTAATGAAAGTATGAATAAACTTTCAAGTGTTAGTGAATTTATCATTTTAATGGGATACGCATTCTATGAAACTAATTTCAACGATCCAACCGTCAAACGTGTTTGTATATATTTCGAGATCACATAAACCAAAAATTGAAAAAAACAAACATTCAGATATCAAGTAACGGGACAAAAGTTTCGACGGTTATCATTGAAAAATCATGATTTAACAGATATTTTAACTCCGATTTTAATGATTTTTTACAGCCACACTCCTTGACCCTATATGAATACAATGAATGAATTCGATCTTCAATTTAAAATATTTACACTAGTGGATACTATAAAATCTTATGTTATACTTAATGAAAGTATAAATAAACTCTTAAAAGTGTTAGTGAATCTATCATTTTGATGGGATACGCATTCTACAAAATTAATTTCAACGATCCAATCGTCAAAGTTGTTTATATATGCTTCAAGATCGTATACGCTAAAAATTGCAAAAAAGAAACATTCAGAGATCAAGTAAAGGGACAAAACATTTCGACGGTTATTAATGAAAAATCACGATTTAACGATTATTTTAACTCCGATTTTGATGATTTTTTTACAACTACACTCCTTGACCCTATACAAATACAATGACTAAACTCGATCTTCAATTTAAAATATTTACACAAGTGGATACCACAAAATCTTATGTTATGCTTAATGAAAGTATGAATAAATTCTTAAGTGTTAGTGAATCTATTGTTTTGATGGGATACTATTCTATGAAACTAGTTTCAACGATCCAACCATCAAACATGTTTGTATATACTTTGAGATTGCATACGCCAAAAATTTCAAAAAAAAAACATTCAGAGATAAAGTAATGGGACAAAACTTTTCGACGGTTATCAACGAAAAATCACGATTTAACTGTTATTTTAACTCCGATTTTGATGATTTTTTACAGCTACAGTCCATGACCCTATATGAATACAATGAATGAAATTGATCTTCAATTTAAAATATTTACCCACGTAGATACCACAAAATCTTATGTTATACTTAATTAAAGTATAAATAAACTCCAAGTGTTAGTGAATCTATCGTTTTGATGGGATACGCATTCTACGAATAATTTCAATGATCCAACCGTCAAACTTGTTTGTATATGCTTCAAGATCGCATACACCAAAAATCGCAAAAACCAAATATTCAGAGATGAATTCAATCTTCAATTTAAAATATTTACACTATTGATACCACAAAATCTTATGTCATGATGATCGATGAAAATTGAGGATTTTGTAAAAGGAATAACATGCAAGCTCTGAGTTCCATTGGCAAGGTTTAAACTTTTGAGAAAGGCTTCACAACCTTGAAAACAAAAACTTTTTCATTTTGCATATCCTTGCACATTTAATATTTTGTAATAGATTAGTAGTGTATGGATGTTTGTTTATTAGACTCTTATTTTCAAGTGTAGATGTAGTACTTAAACGACAAATGTGTTTTAATGTTTTGAAGTAATATTTATGTGGCAATGTGTGGTATGTGCAAATTTAAGAAAAAAAAATATTTTTCTTAACGGGTCATAACGGGTCGGGTCACTTTACCTGTTGGGTAAAGTGACCCGACCTGTTAAGGATCCGTTAAGATAACGGGTGTGACACGACACGACTCGTTAAGATAACAGGTGTTACACGAAAACGACACGAACACGACAGACACGACCCGTTTGCCAGGCCTAGCCCAACCCAACCACATTGTGTATCGAATGACTAAATTACCCACGAATTTCAAATCATGCAGATCGCAGAGCTCGGGGTATTTTAGTCAAACCAAAAACTCAAAAGCTCAAAGGATCGCAGAATCGTATCACTCTCTTGGTTACGAGTTGATTGTTTGATCCAGATGTATAGAAGCGTGGTGTTTGGTAGTACGCGATGCGAGTAAGGTGTTCAATAAGATTTTGAAGTCGATAGAAGTAATCGCTGAATTTGTCCACCATCATTTATTTTGAGTTATTCAGTAAAAAATTGTATTAAGTATGGATAAAATGACGAAAATGCTCTCAATTTAATAAACAATGAGCGAAAATAATTTAATAAAAATTAAGGATATTTTTAACATTTTATATTTATCTGATGAAAATTTTACACAGAATAACTAAAATGATTGATGGCGGACAAACTCAGAGACTACTTCTATGGAACTCAAATCTCAATGAACGAAGTGATGAATTATGCTAATCTCAATAACCATTTTAGCTATAAAACTTTAATAGACCAAAATTGTACAATTCCTCCTTCGTATTATTTCCACACACCTTTATTCCCAGCCCATCAAATTTCCTCAAGCATTAATATACTATTTTGCCATGATTTTCTAATTATTTAGACAAAACATTTTCCAAACATCGATTGTACACATGTTTAATGACTTTGAAACAAAAAATGGCCACATGTTAATTAGCAAAATATATTTCAAGTAAAAATAGGATAGAATTGGCCAGTATCCTGAGCATCATCAACAAAGGTTAGGACAGAACAATACAAAACGAAACATGAATTACCAAGAATTCCACCAACTCACATAAAAGTGTTAATAAAAGTTAACTTTCAATGGTGTATCTGAAACTAAAACTAATCATGTTTTCACTTTGCACCACTCAATTCAACATAATTAATTAATATACTTCCAGACATTACAGGACCAGTGACCCAGCACCGAGCCCTACACCGGGCCATGAAAATTAAATTCAAACAAGCATATTTTAGTTTATTCAGAGCCCCGTATCCTGTGTAGCACCCAAACATAACATTGCATTAATGTTATCCAACGTGATCCAAAGCAATCTAACCCTCCCTCCTAATCCAATCCGAGTTACCAAACATGACCTGAGGAAAAAATTTAAGAGGATTTCAAACGCTAGACACACTAACCCATGCACACACGCGTAACTCGCGCATAAAACCTATTACCAAAAATGTTAATATTTCCCCACAATTTATCACATTAAATCCCCTTGCATACCAAAAGCAGTGGAAGTTATCGAATCAGCACACGAAAATTAGTGAAAAATAAAGGTTAGAGAAGGAGAAGAAAAACATAATACTCTAATTATGACAAGCACATAATGAAGGGGTATTCTTACCAGTGCCACAGTCAAAACAAAATATGACTCACCTATAGAGATAAGTTTTCGCTGAGATATTAAATACCAAAAGTTACAAAAGGAAACTTACATTCCAGCAAAATCCATAGGAGCAGAGGCAAGATACATCATAATTTTCATTATCACCAACAAAATTAACAGCATATTCACAACCCGGATAAGGACACCACTTGGTCTAGCAGCAAAGAAAAAGAATTACAAATCATGGTGAGAAAAATGGAAAAATATGAAGGAAGAAAAATGATATTCATAAATTCCACTATACCACACAAGAGTAATAGAGAGGAATTGAAAAGAAAATAAACCACTAATAAAAAAATGATACTCATATATTCACACTCACACGCTCACACAGGCACAGGAGTAATTGAAAAGAAAAGAAACCACCAATCATTTTTCAATATAGTAATTAAAATTGGGGATACTTTGGATGCGGTCCCTAATTCTTAACACTCTTTGACTAAAACCTTAATGGTATTCAAAGTTTGATCAAAGTCCCTTGAATTTGTACACCTCATTATATTACTATTGATATATATATTTTTATAGTTTTGACATTAATTGTTTGATATTTTATGACATTTATAATCCTATAAATTTAAAATCCCTCATTATGATACTATTAAAAATGGCTACAATAAAAAAATTCAAACATTTTGATTGAATAAATGGATAAAAACAATGTAACAATAAGAAATAATAGTGTTAAAAAAAATTGGTACATTTCTCATATAACAAAGTGTTAAAAAAAAACAGATGGCAAAAGAATGTAGCCATTGTGTTAAAAAAATTGGTACATTTCACATATAACAAAGTGGTAAATTAGTAAAGTAGAATGGGTACATTATAAATAAAATAGGGTACAAATAAAAGATTAAAAAATTATAATCGTCAATCTTCAAACATAGTTCTGTGGTCCAATTACAATTCCATGTTTACTATTTATTCTACAAATCAGGACATCTAGTTAGCGTGGTCATATTGAAGACTAATAATATTCAAAAATTCCAAGCGTCAACTCCACGCTTGACGGGAAGACTTGACCGACCGGGTCAGTCAACAGTGGCACCATACAGCTCTTGATTGAGTTGAAAATCCTTTCAGAAATTCCAAGCGTAAAGAAAGGATTAGAAACTCTGCACCTCCAAAGTTGTTACTAGCTCCCATATTTATTTGTGACGCATACAAACTGGCGAAAAAACATATCATACTGCAACTCAAAACCATGACATTTCTTTATATGCTCCTGCTGCTGTCCGCATTGCCATTGATCAAACCGACATCAATATCTCCAAGAAAACAAGCAGAGTCGCTCGTCAAATGGAAGGGCGGCTTTTCTTCTTTATCATCATTATCGCCACCTTCGCTACTCAATTCATGGTCCCTCACCAACCTCAACAGCCTCTGCAACTGGACTGCCATTTCCTGCTCCAAAACCAGAACAGTCTCCAAAATAGACCTCTCCAATATGCAAATGTGGGGAACACTGTCCCTTTTTGACTTTTCCTCATTTCCAAATCTCACCCACTTCAATCTAAATGGCAACTATTTCGAAGGGCCTATACCGTATGCCGTTGGAAATCTCTCCAGGCTCACATCTTTGGACTTGGGCAACAACTTTTTTGATCATCAAATTCCATCTGAGATTGGCCAGGTAACAGAGCTTCAGTATCTAAATCTCTGCGACAACAGTCTCTCTGGTACCATCCCTTATCAACTGAGCAATCTCCAAAAGGTACGGTACATGGACCTTAGATTAAACTATTTTATCTATGCTGATCAAGATTGGTCAGAATTTGCAGGCATGCCTTCATTGACCTACCTTGCTATGTCTACGCAAGGTGATAGTCTATATCATTCAGAATTCCCAGAATTTATATCTCAATGCCGGAACTTGACGTTCCTCGACTTGTCTCAAAATAATTTGATTGGCCAAATTCCACCTTCGATAGGCCAACTCAGGGAGCTCCAATACCTCAATCTTTCATACAACTCCTTAAACTCTTCTATCCCTTCTGAGCTTGGTCTTTGTACAAACCTCACCCACTTGTCCCTGGCTTCCAATCAACTCAACGGGGAACTGCCTCTGTCCCTGTCCAATCTGAACAACCTTGTCGAATATAAAATACTACAAATTTAAAAAAAGGTTACAAATTAAAAGTGGATACAAACTAAAAATATAAATATATGATACAAAGTTTAGCCATAAATATAAATATACCATACGTAATTTTTCTATTATAGAGTACAACTTTTTCTCCATTTGCCATTTAATGCATAGAAAATAAAACATGCACAATTGCATGCAAGCAAACACAGAGTCACGGTTGCTGCAATTTCCTTGTAGCATTCACATGGCCTTCAATTGTGGTCATATTGAAGACTAATACTATTCAAAAATTCCAAGCGTCAACTCCACGCTTGACGGGAAGACTTGACCGACCGGGTCAGTCAACACTGGCACCATACGGCTCTTGATTGAGTTGAAAATCCTTTCAGAAATTCCAAGCGTAAAGAAAGGATTAGAAACTCTGCACCTCCAAAGTTGTTACTAGCTCCCATATTTATTTGTGACGCATACAAACTGGCGAAAAAACATATCATACTGCAACTCAAAACCATGACATTTCTTTATATGCTCCTGCTGCTGTCCGCATTGCCACTGATCAAAACGACATCAATAGCGCCAAGAAAACAAGCAGAATCGCTCGTCAAATGGAAGGACGGCTGGTCTTCATCATGGCCACTCAATTCATGGTCCCTCACCAACCTCAACAGCCTCTGCAAGTGGACTGCCATTTCCTGCTCCCAAACCAGAACAGTCTCCAAAATAGACCTCTCCAATATGGCAATTGACGGAACACTGTCCCTTTTCGACTTTCCCTCATTTCCAAATCTCACCCACTTCAATCTAAATGGAAACTATTTCGATGGGCCTATACCATCTGAGATTGACCAGGTAACAGAGCTTCAGTATCTAAATCTCCGCGACAACAGTCTCTCTGGTACCATCCCTTATCAACTGAGCAATCTCAAAAAGGTACGGTACATGGACCTTGGATTAAACTATTTTAACAATACTGATCAAGATTGGTCAGAATTTGCAGGCATGCCCTCATTGACCTACCTTGCTATGTCTATGCAACGTGATAGTCTATATCATTCAGAATTCCCAGAATTTATATCTCAATGCCGGAACTTGACGTTCCTCGACTTGTCTCAAAATAAATTGAATGGCCAAATTCCACCTTCGATAGGCCAACTCAGGGAGCTCCAGTACCTTGATCTTTCATACAACTCCTTAAGCTCTTCTATCCCTTCTGAGCTCGGTCTTTGTACAAACCTCACCCACTTGTTCTTGGCTTTCAATGAACTCAACGGGGAACTGCCTCTGTCCTTGTCCAATCTGAACAACCTCGTCGAATTGGGTTTAGCTAATAACCATATCTCTGGCACGATTCCACCTTCGATAGGCCAACTCAGGGGGCTCCAATACCTCAATCTTTCATACAACTCCTTAAACTCTTCCATCCCTTCTGAGCTTCGTCTTTGTACAAACCTCACCCACTTGTCCCTGGCTTCCAATCAACTCAACGGGGAACTGCCTCTGTCCTTGTCCAATCTGAACAACCTCGTCGAATTGAGTTTAGCTTATAACCGATTTTCAGGCACGATTCCGGACAATATAGGTTTGATTTCTGGTCTTCAAAGTATTGACCTGAGAATGAATCATCTGGAAGGGAAAATTCCATCCTCTGTAGGCCAAATCAGGGAGCTCCAGTACCTTAATCTTTCATACAACTCCTTAAACTCATCAATCCCTTCTGAACTTGGCCTTCGTACAAACCTCACCCACTTGTCCTTGTCTTCCAATAAACTCAATGGGGAACTGCCTCTGTCCTTGTCCAATCTGAGCAACCTCGTTGAATTGGGCTTAGATAATAATCTATTTACTGGTCAAATCCTTCCTTCTCTGGTCTCCAATTGGATTAATATGGAATCTTTGCAACTTCAGTCCAATGAACTCAGTGGGGAGATTCCGACGGAAGTTGGAAATATGAACTTTCTGTTGACGCTCAATCTAAGAAGGAACCACTTGACAGGAGTGGTCCCTCAGATTCTAGGCAATTTAGCTCTGCTTAAGCTGCTCGATTTGTCACACAACCATCTTTCGGGGCAAATCCCATCATTTGTCAACACGATTTTTCTTCGTGATGTTAATTTTTCTTATAACAACTTGACTGGCCGAATCCCATGCGTTTTCCAATGGGCACCAGAAAATGCTTTTGTTGGAAACTCTGGGTTGCATGGGTATGTAGACTCGTGTGTAGACAGTATACCCCCTCGGCACAACAGAAATTTCAAAAAGGATAACAAAAGAGTTCTAATTGGTATCCTTGTGCCTGTTTGTGGTTTATTAATGGTTACAACTGTCATTGGTCTTATGTTCCGTAAAAAATCCAGTCTCGTTTTGAACAAAGTCAACACTTCTGAAAACTTTGAGAGTTTGGAGTCGATGATATTGCAAGAGGAAGTAAAGTTTACGTTTGCGGAAGTTGTGAAGGCTGTAGATGACTTTCATGAGAAGTACTGCATTGGGGTAGGAGGGTTTGGAAGGGTTTACAAGGCAAAGTTGCAATCAGGCCATGTTGTTGCAGTTAAAAGGCTTAACATGTCAGACTCTAATGATATTCCAACAATCAATCTCCATAGCTTTCAGAATGAAATCCGAACTTTGACAAGCATCCGGCACCGGAACATCATAAGGCTCTACGGCTTCTGTTCAAGAAGGGGTTGCATATTCTTGCTTTATGAATACTTAGAGAAAGGAAGCTTGGGAAAAGTTTTGTATGGAGTTGAAGGTGTTAATGAACTCGTTTGGGCAACTAGAGTCAAAATTGTGCAAGGACTTGCTCATGCACTTTCTTACTTGCACCATGATTGCTCTCCACCAATTGTGCACCGTGACATAACCGTTAACAATGTATTGCTTGAGTCTGATTTCGAGGTTCGTCTCTCAGATTTCGGAATAGCCAGGTTATTGAGTACTGATTCATCCAACTGGACAGATATTGCTGGTTCATTTGGCTACATAGCACCAGGTAATGTAAACTTAATTTGTACATTTATGGTTCATCTTTTTGCTTATTGGGATATGTTTTAAGGTAGCCTGTTTTGTTTTTATTGATATGCAGAGCTTGCATACACTATGCGTGTTACGGATAAATGTGATGTATATAGCTTTGGAGTGGTGGCGCTCGAAGTCATGATGGGAAGGCACCCAGGAGATATGCTAGAGTCCCAGCTACAAGAATCATCAAAATCAAGGAGGGACAATGTAGAATTGCTCCTGAAAGATTTGTTAGACCAAAGGTTGGAACCGCCAACCAATGAATCTGCAAAGGCAGTGGTGCTCGTAGTGACAATGGCCTTGGCTTGTGTACGAACGTGTCCAGCGTCCAGACCTACGATGTTATTTACGGCACAAAAACTCTCAGCTCAAACCTTGCCTTGCCTTCCCAAACCATTTGGTATGTTGACAATCAACAAGCTAATGGCAGGATAAATAATAAAACAAAAAAGAAAAAGAAGAAAAGGGCGAATAGCTCAAACTTCCCTTTTGTATTCCTGCCACTCGCAGTTCCATCTAATTTCTCATGTAATACATCTTCAGTACTGTAATACTCATCTGTATGATTTGTCGAATGTGGATTAATGTGTGATGAATTTTCTTAATCGTAATTGCATTAAACCGATAATCCATAATGTGTCAAAATAACTCCACAATTAATAAAAAAACTTGAATTATGGATTTGTGTCCTTCCTCTAGTTCAAAGAGCTACCCTAAAAAATTGAACCTGCATGGATCATTTTCGCCATGGATTATTTTGAAAGCAAACACATATGGAACTACAGGATGCAATCTGACCTTGCATCTTTGAACCATGTCGCGCGTCGAAGTACATTTGATCTTCCAGGCATTCTTAAACTTTTCCGCTATGTCGAATATAGGTTTGTGCCTTTCCTCTCTAAATCTGCAACAGCCAGAACTGCTTTCACATTCACACTACAGCACAATAGAAGACACTTTGACACGACAATCTGTTAAATTAGCAAATGGGAAAGTGGTGGAATAACACCGTAGTATTGTGAGCAAGTCTCCCGCGTAGATCTATAGCTTCTGTGCGTTAAACCATCCACATAATGATAAAACAGCAAATCTATAGCTTCTGTGCGTTAAACCAAATCCCATCAGGAGTTGTTCTCATAATCTATAGCTTCTACACTGATTCAACAAACCAAAAGCACATATGGATTGGAGACAGTATAGTATCTGCTTACCGGTTGACTGGCTTCAAACGATTTTGAGCTGAAAATTTCTCGCAAAACTAATAAACAAGAAAAGAGAATGCAGCAATAGGGATTACAGTGAAATGTAAACAACCTACAAATAAGTTGACTGTGCAGAAGTCGCTGAAAGGGCGAAAATAACTGGATGAGATGTGACCCTTATCATGTTCAACTTCTATCGTCAGGTGATACTTTCAGGCCACGCTTTGCCTTAAACCGACTGTATATGATTGTTAAAAGACCGACCAAGACTGTTATAAGCGTCCAGATTTTCACTTTTTGGTTCATTCATCTACGCAATGAGACACGTTCTAACAAAGAGACGCATGCAGTAAGAAATCATCTTCGTTGAATTCTGAATCAACTCGCTTGTGTCCATCAAACTCAACAAGGCCCACGTTATACTTATGCCCTTCCGGGGTGACATGGAAAAGTTATTCCAGTTTGCTTCTGAATTCCAATCCGTTTTCTGCTCAAACGGCCAGAAAAGCGATTCATCAATAGTAGTTAGATCTTCCAAATCTTCAGCTTCAGATGCATGTCCTAATGCAAAATCACACCAGAATTAGATGACTGAAAGTTATAACCCCAGCAACTACTTCTGTAAGATGGGCTGGGAAAATCAGACAGAAACCAATCTGACTTTGAATCTGTACCCGGCCTCCAAATCAAATCTCAAAGATCATCATCATGTTTTCTCTCACTACCTCTCTATCTGACCCTGCAGTGCAGCAGGGCAGACGCCTAACAAACTGCAAAACCACAATCAACACTTTGAAGAACTCTTCAAAATGAGATAATTTTAATACACTTCACCACTTCATACCAAAAAGTGCATACATAGACAACATGAAACAACAAATATGCCACAATTTGAAGCATGAAAAGGCAAGCATACCTTGCCTGCAGATAAGATACTATCGGAGGGAGGAACAGAAAAAGGTAGGTGCATTGGCCCTCCTTGCAATATACACTCCTTGACTGTACATAAATTTGAAGGTCAATAATGTCGAATAAGAAACAAGAGTATAAAGCATAGAAGGAAGCCTTGTTCAATTTGACAAAGACAGACTTTTCTGCAATCTAAAATCACGACCTATGAGTGCCATGTTCACCATCATCGTGTACTCTCTTAATACCTGACGTGGAAAACAGGAAATTGATGACCCTTTGCAAATTTTGAATATTAAGATAATTTATATTACTTGTTCTTCTTAGTGTGTCTCTATGCATGCCAAACGATAACAAACATAAAAATAAAGCAGACACATCAGAAATGCAATTGAAGGCATTTCTTTCAAATGATCAAAATGATAGTCAAATATGGGCTGTGAGGATTGTCATGCTCTCTCAAATGCGACATACATAATATCAGAAACATCAACAGCTACTGAAACTGAAAACCTAAGAGACAGTAGCTTCAAAAACTAGTCCCACATGATGAAGAAATCTACACCAAAAGAACTGCAAGTACACAGGAAACAGCATGTGAGCTCCGCATCCTACCTCGTACTTAAAGAGATGCGATTTGTAAAGAAAGAATAAAGTGCTTCATTTTTTTAGAATCCCGACCATCCTGTTGAGCAGAGAAATTAAAGAACTCATAGGGAATCGATGTGAAAACGAAGTGCCGGTTGTTGACTACCTGACGCCCTCCCCCTCCTCCTTTATCAGGGCTTGGGACCGGCAGCGTAAGATAAACTTACACAGGCGGAGTTAGAGAAATAAAGAACTGTAAAAAGAAAATCAGTTATGGGCAAGATGTCAAGACCAATAGAACTGTAAAAGCAAAACAGTCCAAAAACACAACTAAGGACAACAGCGAGAAACTTGCATTGCTCGTCCAAAACAGAACGTGACATATCTAATATAGACTAAGGTATGAATACTAAAAATTAAACAGAGAAAACTTACATTCCACAAAAAAATTCATAAAAACAGTGGCAAGAAACTTGATAATTGTCCTTATCGTCAACAAAACTATCAACACGTTCACAAACTTAACACACCATGTTACCATCAAAATTCAAGCACAATACGCAGAACATGCACATGCTCAGAAGCCACACGTGCAGAGGGAGTAATTCAAAGGAAAAGAAAACATTAATTTGATTTTCAAATTTAGTATAGTAATTGAAATCATCAACCTTGAAACCTTTTGTCAATAAAAATAAAAAGAAAGTAAGATACTTGGGTGCAAAAGAAATGTATTATAAAGCATTCAGTGGATTAAAATTGGAAACAATCCTAGAAGCACATACATACACATGACTGGGGGAAACACGGTAGACCTGAGGTGCAGCAAAATGAAAGGCACGCAATGGATCAGTACGGCAGAGAAGAAGGCCCAGGTAATCACCAATACCAAATTTGTTAATTAACTAATGAACCAAAAGAAATCAGAGCATATATACAAGGAACGGAAATAAAATCTATACTGATCATAACTGTGCTTCTATATGCACGCCATGGAAATTAGACAGCTGCTGTCACCACTACGTCCCTCTATTGATCATTCGCAGAATCGCTCATCCACAAACAGTCTGTCCAGTAATTGAACCCATCTAACAGTTGGCTGAATTCGTCAATTTGAGGCCACTCCTGGGGCAATTTACCTTCAAGCGTTGTCAACCATTCTTCAATGTCTCCACGCACTGCTTCACCATCTAAAGGATATTCCCTGCCGCCCAAGAATATCAGAGAAGAAGGAACAGCACTCATCAGTGGCACATATTCATGATCTGAAATATGAGTGGGAAAGGGCATCACATTTCCAGTAGTATAAAAACAAGGGCTGACGCTAATAGCTTGACAACTTGATTCAGGCAAGGCGTGTATACTCCGTGTAAAGTGTTCTTCCTCCTGCTCCGCTTCTAGATGATGATGATGGTGAGCAAGCAAATCAAGAGAAAATGGAGAACCGAGGCCCGTGGCCTTCCTATGTTTCCAACCACAACTGGCAAAATAATGATTTGAAAAGGAGGGAACGGGATGATGGTGATGAGCAGAGTAGTGTGATCAGGCTCAGCAGCTTGATGTACATGATCTTGATTTGGGTCTTCTTCATCCTCTCCTCCAATATGATTAAACAATTCAGTGATTAAGTCCTCCTCATCATCCAACTCTCTTTCATCCGCGGTTCTTGGCCCCTCCTCAATCTCGTGATGATGATGACCGAGATGAGTAGTCAGCCGAGGCACAACGGCAGCCTCGGCTGCAGCAGAGGCCGCAACAGCAGAATCAGGCAGAAGCTCAAACTCGTCAATTAAGGATCTTAACAGATCATCATCCAAGCAATCATTTGCTTCGGTGGTGCTGCTTGAGGACCCCTCGTGATGAAGTAGATCATCAAGCTCCCTAATCGAGTCCTCCATTACCAAAAGATCATCATCCGAATCATGAGTCCTCTGCCTCTTGACCGTATCACCCAAAACCGGAACAGCATCATCGGAATCGGAATCAGGGAAACGCGGACGCTTGAGAGAAGAGACAGTGGGCCTCAAATCTTGACCCCTCATCTCCAATTTTCCAATTTCTTCACGAAACACAAGACAAACAGACGAAAGCGGTGTGCTTTCTGCGAAAACCAAAAACGTAAGTGGGTAATGTGGAAGAAGAAAAAGCAACACTTTCCAAACACAAGGGCTAATAAAGAAGATCAGCGAAGAGTGCGACTGAATTGATTATACGGGATTTGGGGATTAGGGTTTCTTGTTACAGTGCTAGACAGACAGAAATTAACGATACCGAGAAATAAAACAGAAGAAAAGGCAAGAACTGAACCTGGAACTGGGAACAAGTCGTCGACTTTCTGCTCAGAGAACAGGATGTATTCGTCCCCAAATTTGAATCGAGCTTCCAATTTCTGCTCAGAGAGAGATCACGCGAGAGAGAGAGAGAGAGAGCAACAAATTTGAATTGGGCTTCGAATTCCGACGCACACAGAGAGAACGCAACAACGCAACACGATCGTTTGAGCGAGAGAGAGAGAGAGAGAGAGCGCGATCCAGAGATCCAGTGAGGGAGTGGGATGGGGGTTTTGAAATTTAGAGGGAAAATATGACCGTTTGGGAATAGGACCGCTAAAACGCGGGTTTCATCACGTGCCGTTTTCCCTCTGCTACTTGGCGCCTGCGAGTGGGAACCCCTCCCCAAAGGGCCCAAGCCCAACCCAACCACATTGTGTACCTAATGACTAAATTACCCATGAATTTC